ATGGACCAATGTTGATGGAACTCTACCATAATGAGGACCCCCATGTAAAGTTGTGCACCTTGCTATGGAATGGTAAAAAATGGCCGCCGTTTCCATGGAAACAGAAAAATGCCAAAAAAATCAAAGTGTTCCAAACTGGAAGAAACTCCACAGGAATGGTAACTGGCATGTGCTGATTTGCAGTTTGACTTCAGAATTTTCAATATGGCTGCCTTTACCATGGAAACAGCTAAAATATCAAAAATTCTAACTCTTCCGTTATAAGACCCAACTGGATGAAACTTAATGAAAATGTTACCCAGTATGCCAAGATGCCAAGACAATATTTGGATACTCCAAAATGGCCGCCGTTGTCATGGAAACTGGGGACAAGTTTAACATTGACCCTATGGGAAAATGCATCAAATCAGCATTTTCTTAAAGAGTATTTCACCAAAGTCAATGAAACTGTATTGATATATAACATGACATGTGGAAATGAGATGTCTGCTTTTAGAATTTTGGAATTATCCACTTGGAATTTTCAAAATGGCCACCGTTACCATGGAAACAGCAAAATTGTTCAAAAAATCAAAATGTTTCAAAAGCAATGAAACTTCACACAAATATTGTCTGGGATATTCAGATATGAAATTTGACTTTGGAATTTCCAAAATGGCCGCCGTTACCATGGCAAAAAAGTCAAAAATTTCAAAATGCTCCAAACTTAACAAAACTTGACAAAAATGACAATTTGCATTTCTAGATTCGCTCTTTGACTTTTGAATTTTCAAAATGGCTGCCGTTACCCTGGCAATGGGGGAAGGGTGCCATCCGTTATTGCTAGCAATTACAAATCTAGTTATTCTTTGTCTTCCGCCGCTTTTTTGAATGAACTTGTCCGCACCATATCTCCAAAACCGCTTGTCAGATTGACTTAAGGTTTCACAATATGTTAGATTAACATGTCTAGTGGTGCAATCAGGGTTTCGTTTGTGCATTGGGGTCTAAAAAGGGGTACTTTGAGGGGCCAAAAGAAGGGAGGGGTTTACTATAGAACCCTATGGGATTTTTTTTATTTTTTTTCAAATGATTATAACTTGAAAACCGTTAGTGATAGACACAATCTTTATAATTGAAAATGTTCTACATGATAAAGCACATCAAATGAAATAAGGGTTTCGTCCCCTGGGGTCAACCCCACCCCCTGCCATTTGACAAAGTTCTAATATCTTGTAAGTGGTCAACATCCCCACCTCTAAACCATATATATTCTGGTTTGTCATGATAAAGCACATCAAATGAAATAAAGGGTAAGTCCCCAGGGGTCACCCCCACCCCCTGCCATTTGAGAAATTTCTAATATCTTGTAAGTTGTCAAGATCCCCACCCCTAAACCATATATATTCTTGTTTGTCATGATACAGTCCATCAAATGAAAAAAAAGGATTAGTCCCCAGGGGTCACCCCAACCCCCTGCCATTTGAGAAAGTTCTAATATCTTGTAAATGGTCGAGATCCCCACCCCTAAACCATATATATTCTGGTTAGTCATGATACTGCACATAAAATGAAGTAACATATTAGTCCCAAGGGGTCACCCCCACCCCCTGCCATTTGAGAAAGTTCTAATATCTTGTAAATGGTTGAGATCCCCTCCCCTAAACCATATATAGTCCTGTTCGTCATGTCACAAAGATTCGATTGATATATAGGGTCAGTCCCAAGGGGTCCCCCACTCCCAATGATCTAATATCTTGTACATGGTCGAGATCCCCACCCCTAAACCATATATATTCTTATTCATCATGTCAAGAAAATTTGAATGATATATAGGGTCAGTCCTTAGGGATCACCCCCAGCCCCTGCCATTTGAGAAAGTTCTATTATCTTGTAAATTGTCGAGATTCCCACCACTAAACCATACATATTATTGTTTGTCATGATACAGTCTATCAAATGAAATAAAGGATTAGTCCTGAGGGGTCACCCCCCACCCCCTGCCATTTGAGAAAATTCTAATATCATGTAAATGGTCAAGATCCCCACCACTTAACCATATACATTCTTGTTCGTCATTTCACAAAGATTAGATTAATATATATGGTCAGTCCCCAGGGGGTTCCCCCACCCCTTAATGGTCTAATATCTTGTAAACGGTCAAGATCCCCACCCCTTAACCATATATATTCTGGATTGGCATGCCAAGATGATATGAATGATACACAGGGTAAGACCCAGGTGTCATCCCCACCCCCTGTCATCTGAATATGTTCAAATAACTTGTAAATGGTCGAGATCCCCACCCCTAAACCATATATATTCTGGTTAGTCATGATACAGCACATCAAATGAAATAAAGTATTAGTCCCCAGGGGTCACCCCCACCCCCTGCCATTTGAGAAAGTTTTAATTTCTTGTAAATGGTCGAGATCCCAACCCCTAAACCATATATATTCTGGTTAGTCATGATACAGCACATTAAATGAAGTCAAGTATTAGTCCCAAGGGGTCACCCCCACCCCCTGCCATTTGAGAAAGTTTTAATATCTTGTAAATGGTTGAGATCCCCTCCCCTAAACCATATATATTTCTGATTGTCGTGTCACAAAGATTCAAATGATATATAGGGTTAGTCCCCAGGGGTCACCCCACCCACAATGATCTAATATCTTGTAAATGGTCGAGATCCCTACCCCTAAACCATATATTTTCCTATTCATCATGTCAAGAAGATTTGAATAATATAAAGGGTCAGTCCCCAGGGATCACCCAACCCCCTGCCCTTTGAGAAAGTTCTAATATCTTGTAAATGGTTGAGATCCCCACCCCTAAACCATATATATTGCTGTTCCTCATGTCACAAAGATTGGAAAGATATATAGGGTCAGTCCCCAGGCATCACTAATGCATATAACTTTACTGGACCAAACCAATGTTCACTGGACTTTGCCCAATGTCAGGCGACCCTGGGAATGACGAATTATGGGAACTTCGTTTGGGAGACTTCGTAACAGCATCCTGTTACAATCATTTCTTGTTATATATATGTAATAATACAATTGTACCCATATTTTTAAGAATTGTTTCTTATTGCTAAATGCATCATTTATAAATTTTTATAGTCTAATTACATTCAGTAATATTTTGTGGATTTAAAAGTTTAGAAACTGAAAAATAATTATTATGTGAATCTTTTAAAACTAAACCATAAGATAGGAAAAAAGTTTGTCTTATATCTTTATATTTATCACAAGATATCAAAAAATTTACTTCAGTCTCTACTTCAGTGCAAAATTTGCATAAATGTTGTTCTCTTGGAATTTTGGATTTATTAGATCTACCCCGTTCTATATTTAAACAATGAGTATGAACATGAACAATCACATCATAGCAAAGCATTTTTGCAAGTGAATTATCATAGTTTTCAACTGAATTAACCTAGAATTATAGAAATGTTTTAAATCAGAAAGAAATGGCAAAGTAGGTATTGAGTAGGGGGTTGAAGCATCCATTTTATACCTTTAAAAAACGCAAACCTGTTAGAGCGCATGGCACACATTTATGTATTTAAATTATTGTTGTCTCAATTTCCTGACCGTTATTTATCTTAAAATAAGCGTAGTGTATATATTAATACAAAAATGTCTATTAGTAAAGAGCATCAAAATGTTTATTTATAAACACCTTGTGGATAATTTATAAACATCTTGTGGATAATTTATAAACATCTTGTGGATAATTTTCAATTGCAGTTTTTTTTGTCAAAATCTTAACTGCACAATGTATTAGATTTCTATCTTTATTCTCACAAGCTAAATATTGAATATGGTAGATTCATAGAAAGAGAATGAAAGATTATGTATTTGATGTGACTATGGTGATATAAAGGATGAATTTTATTTTATTATAAAATGTCAAAAGTACTTATGCTAATATCAGAAAATTTAATATAAAAAGGTATCATTATACAAATGCATCTGTTTTCAAAGTAGTTCAGTTATTGTCAACAAAGAATGTATAAGAATTGTCTTATATTTATAGGAAAATATTTAAATTATGCCACAGATATGAAATTTTCAAGACAATCCTTTGAATGATTTATACTACATATCCTTGTCTCCAATTGTATTTAAAATGTTCTGTTATGATATACATGTATATATTTATGACATACCTGTAAGCTGTATTGCTTCTGGTTATAAAAAAACAACTAAATTTTAAAAGGTAGGGCATGCACTTAACAAAATAAAATCTTTTATTTTCATACGCCCGTCTAAGACGGGACGTATTATGGTATACCGTTGTCCGTCTGTCCGTCCGTCGTCCACACTTAGGACAATTACTAAAAAACGCTTCCACCAACTTTTATGAAACTTTGTTGAATTGTTTATATCTATTGACGTAAGTTCCCTTTCGATTTTTATAAATTTCAGATTTTTCGTTTTCATGTTATGAAGTTTTATCCTTAAAAAAAGGGGGATTTTCGAGTTTTAGGACAATAACTCAAAAATGCTTCCATCAACTTAAATGAAACTTTGGTGAATTGTATATATCTATTGATGTATGCTCCCTTTCGATTTTTATAAATTTCAGATTTTATGTTTCCGTGTTATGAATTTTTATGCTTAAAAAGGGGGGGATTTTCTAGTTTTCGGACAATCACTCATAAACACATTCACAAAATTTTATGAAACTTTGGGGAATTGTTTATATCTGTTGACTTGAGCTACCTTTTAATTTTTATAAATTTCAGATTTTACATTTTCCAGTTATGAATTTTTATACTTATAAAAGGGGGATTTTTTAGTTACTTTCACCAACTTTTATGAAACTTTGGTAAATTGTTTATATCTATTGATGTAAGATCCCTTTTGACAAATGTAAAACATTTCAAATGAGAAAACAAACAGCCTAATTAATGTACAAAAAAAAATCATTTAAAGCATAATACAAGCTAAAGGGCAACAAGCGTATCATGCGCTTATAGCGCAGCTCTTTATTATTTTTATTTTCTACAGGGTAAAAGTTGAACAGCAAGAAAGTTTGATTGTTGATTCCGGTTACATATACAATACAGCCATCAATGGAGGAAGACTTGGTGTGTTTGCCTACAACCAGACTGGTGCCATTTGGTCAGATCTCCTTTATAGTTGTACTGAAAGGTGAGGCATTTTACCAATACAACAGACGGGAAATTTATAAGTTTTTACCATCTTTTATTCCACTTTATAAATTTAGTAAAGCTAATGAGACAAACTACTTGTATTTGTAGTATTTGTATTTTTATCCATCTGATGAGTTAAGCCTTTTTCAACTGATTTTTATAGTTCGTTCTTATGTTGTACTGTTACACCACTGTCCCAGGTTAGGGGGTGGGTTGGGATCCCGCTAACATGATTAACCCCGCCACATTCTCTATGTATGTGCCTGTCCCAAGTCAGGAGCCTGTAATTTAGTGGTTGTTGTTTGTTTATATGTTACATATTTGTTTTTCGTTTAATTGTTTTTCATTTATTTGTTTTTTCGTTTATTTTTTGTACACTAATTAGGCCGTTAGTTTTCTAGTTTTGAATTGTTTTACATTGTCATTTCGGGGCCTTTTATAGCTGACTATGCGGTATGGCCTTTGCTCATTGTTGAAGGCTGTACTGTGACCTATAGTTGTTAATTTCTGTGTCATTTTGGTCTCTTGTGGAGAGGTGTCTCATTGGCAATCATACCACATCTTCTTTTTTATGTTGATTATTTAATATTCAATCTTTTTGATAACTCTTTTATTTCTATTGAAAATTTATTTACAAGAATGCACCCTCTGAAATGTCTAGCTTGCTTTACTTGTGATTGAATTCATGTTGAAAGTGTATGAAATGAAGGCTTAACTCCAAGTATCAGATAAATTTACATTATTAGTGATCAATGTAGATAAGGTCAAAGGTGCATGTACCCTATCAGACAGACAGACCCCTTACAATCATACCACATATATATACCAAATATAGTTCGCCTATTGTTTTAAGTAGTTGAAAAACATCTCTTACCTTATAAGCAGTACAAAAATTGAACATAGACCAATGAACCATAAAAATAAGGTTATGGTCAGATGAACCCAGCCAGACAATATATTCACCATGCAATTATTCAATACACAGAATAGAGTTGATCTTTTGCTCATAGTATAAACCATGAAACTTAACACTGACTGATGAACGATGAAGAAGAGATCAAGGCAAAGGTCCGTAAACGGTCATATATGCCAGAATCTGAAATCGATATGTCCTAAACAAAAGAATGAGATTTGGGACAAATTTATTTTTTACATATGTAATTTTGTTCATTTCGTTAAGATCGGATTTCTTAATCGCCATTTTTATGCCCCGCAACTGAAAGTTGGAGGGGGGGCATATTGATTTACCCCTGTCCTTCTGTCTGTCCCATTATGGGTATATATTTATTCAGCTTAACTCCTCCTAACAGTTTGAATCTTCGGAAGTTTCCACTTTGCTATCTGTTTGTACACATATTGACGGTGTGCATGTGGTCAGGGTTTTGATTTTTAGGCAGTACTAGCTAGCACCATAGATTTCTGTTCTACCCAATGATTGCTGGAATAAGTGCCATTGTTATAATCTCGTGGCTAATATGTTACTAATAACTAATTGGACAATTTTTTCATACATTTAATTCTAGAATACAAAAAATATAACCAGAATAACCTTAAATGATTGTTGAACGACGTAAAATATTTGAAGTTGCACACAGGAACGTATTTTATTATCCCCTGGGCTTTTGGCTAAGATGTCAAAGAACTATTGTATAAAATATTTCATTGCTGAAAATCTCTGATTACAAGCTGTTTACATTTCCCAAATGGCAAAATGCGCAGGAATATTTTTCATGTACACCAAATCTCTTTGATAGAGGAAATAAAGTTATATATAGATGTCTAAGTTGGCCGTAATTTTAACTTGCACGAAACGTAATTATAGTAAGTATACATTGATTCTTTCTGATGATATAAAAACCCGAATAAAGTAAGTATTGTGAAGATTGTGATTATTTAATTGATTTTAATTAAATGTATGCACATTTAAATTCCTTCCTTTAATTATATTATTCTGTTTATCACTGACCTTGCCAAATAAAGTTGTTGTTATTTTTTTAATACAAAGAAGCTAACTATCTCCCTTATTACAGCAAAGTAAATAAAAACAATATATTTTTGGAATCAGAATGAAAAAATTGGTTGGATGCAAAGAATAACTTTGAGTAAACTGGAAGTAGCTTATGAATTATTAAGAAATTTAATGTGGAAAGACCTTTTAATCCTACTTTATATTATATTTCAGAGAAAACAAGGCATTGTATTTAAATGGTTCGAGTTATGGGACTTTAGGAAACTTATCATCATTGGGAATTGAAAAGAGGTAATTGACAATAAGAAAGCAAATAAGAAATGAATATGTTTCCAAACTCTTAATCTGAAGTTTTTCAAAAGGGACCATATTGGTATCACGTCGTCAGCGTCGTCCCAGGACGCTCTGTTTCTGGACAATAACTTTAGTATAAGTAAATAGAAATCTATAAAATTTAAACACAAGGAAGGTTGGGATTAATTTGGGGGTTATGCCCCGTTATGGTCCCAAAAGTTTAGGAATTATGGGTAAAAAAGGCCCAAATAAGCATTTTTGTAGCTTCTAGACAATAACTTGTGTGTAAGTGTATGGATCTTTCTGAAATTGTACCACAAGGTTCAATATCACAAAGGGAAGGCCGGGATTGAGTTTGGGGGTAATTGCACTAAAAGTTTAGGAATAAGGGGTCAAAAAGGGGCCCTATTAAGCATTTTTGTAGCTTCCAGACAATAGCTTGTGTTTAAGTGTATGGATCTCTCTGGAATTGAACTGCAAGGTACCATACAACAAAGGGTAAGCTGGGATTAAGTTTGGGGGTAGTTACTAAAACGGGGGTTAAAAAAAAATTTGGGGTGGGGTTATTTTTTTCATAATTTTTGGGGATTTTTTTCTAAAAAATTTCCATTTTTACATTGATTTTTCTGATTTTTATATATAAAAGCAAAAAATACTGATATGGCAGGAGAAACATGCCAAACATGATGTTGTAAATAATTATATGAAGTAATGTGCAAAAGCAAGAAATCTTCAATTCCGCAATAGCACAATAATCAGGCTATTATTTGAATTTGGAATTATTTTTAATTATGGATTTTGCATAATTTCTTGTGCTTGAAATTTTTAACGAATTCCATGTTTATTTTGTATCATAATGTTCTGTGCAGTGCACAACATTTTCTATTACAAAGAAGATAGCACATTTTTAATAGAATGTACTGTGCTGCGCACAACACTATCTATACAAAATACATTATGCCGAAAGTGTTATTGCAACGCTCAAAAGTTCAAATAATAGCCTGTTAATATTACATGATAGCAAGAAGTCTTCTATTGCACAGTATTGCGTAATAGCAAGAAATCTTCAATTGCACAGTATTGCGCAATAGCAAGAAATCATCAATTGCACAATATTGCGCAATAGCAAGAAATATCCATTGCACAGTATTATGCATTAGCAAGATATCTTCAATTCCACAGTATTGCACGATAGAAAGAAATATTCAATAGCACAGTGTTACACAACATCACAGTATTGCGCAATAGCAAGAAATCTTCAATTGAAAATTAATACGAATATTTCAACCCATTTCAAATTTTTTAAATCTTTCACCACATTTATTTTGTGTCAGAAACATTAATTATGTCAAAAATTTGATCACAATCCAAATTCAGACAGTATCAAGCTTGAATATTGTGTCCAAACTTGCACCAACTGTTCAGGGTTCGATCTCTGCAGTCGTATCAGGCTGCGCTCGGCAAAGCATTTTATTGGTTATTATCTTGAATATAATAATAGACAGAGATAAACTGTACACAGCAATAATATTCAGCAAAGTAAAATCTACAGATAAGTCAACATGACCAAATTGTCAATTTACCCCTTAAGGATTTATTGCTCTTTAAGGTCAATTTTTAGCTTACCTGACCCAATTTTCTTTATCACTTGGCGTCCGTTGTCTGTTTACGTTTATAAAAATCTTCTTGTCTGAAACTACATGGCCAAATTTAACCAAACATGACCACAATCATCATTGGGGTATCTAGATAAAAAAAAGTGTCCTATGACCTGGCCAACCAACCAAGATGGCGGCCATGACTTAAAATAGAACATAGGGGTAAACTGTAGATTTTGGTTTATATCTCTGAAACTAAAGCATTTAGAGCAAATCTGACATGGGGGTAAAATTGTGTATCAGATCAAGATCGATCTGCCCTGAAATTCTCAGACAAATTTGATAACCTGTTGTTGGGTTGCTGCCCATGAATTGGTAATTTTAAGGAAATTTTGCAGTTTTTATACATCCATTTAAGGGATGTATTATGGTTTACCGTTGTTCGTCTGTTTGTCAGTCTGTCGTCAACATGTCAGACATTAACTCAAAAACTTTCAGCCATTTGACACAAAACTTTGATGAATTGTTCATATCTATTGACATGAGCTCCTTTTCATTTTTTAGCTCACCTGGTCCAAGTGAGCTTTTCTAATCACTTGGCGTCTGTCATCGTCTGTCATCCATCAACTTTTACAGAAATCTTCTCTGAAACTGCATGGCCAAATTTAACCAAACTTGGCCACAATCATCATTGGGGCATCTAGTTTTAAAAATGTGTCCAATGATCCAGCCAACCAACCAATATGGCCACCATGGCTAAAAATCGAACATACAGGTAAAATGTAGTTTTGGCTTATATCTCTGAAACCAAAGCATTTAGAGCAAATTGGAAATGGGGTTAAATTTTTTATCAGGTCAAGATCGATCTGCTGTTAACTTTTCAGACAAATCAGACAACCCGTTTTTTTATAAATTTTAGATTTTACACTTCCAATTTATGGGATTTTATTCATAATAAAGGGGTGATTTTCGGACAATCATACCTTCAAAGTGCTTTGAGCAGTTTTCATTAAACTTTGATAACTGGTTTATGTCAATTAAGATAACCTCCCTTTAGTTTTTTACAAATTTCTGATATGACATTGAGAAGTAATTGAACTTTAAAAATGTGACAGGCGTATTATGCGCTCATGGCGCCACTGTTTATTGGATATTATCTTGAATATTATTTTAGATTTATAGATAATTAAACTGCAAACAGCAATAATGTTCAGCAAAGTAAGATCTACAAATAAGTCAACATGACTGAAATGGTCAAATGACCCCTTAAGGAGTTCTTGTCCTATACAGTAAATTTTTAACAGATTTTTTTCAATTTTTGAAATCTTACAAAAATCTTCTCCTCTGAAACTACTGATACAAATTTAACCAATCTAGGTCACAATTATCATTAGGGTATCTAGGTTAAAAAAAATTTCCAATGACCCTGCCTGCCAACCAACATGGCAGACATGGCTAAAAAAAGAACTTAACCGTTACCATGATGTGACCGTCATATGACGGGCGTACCCAAACCACCGTTATTTGGCTCCAATGGCTTTCCATACTTTTAAAATTCAACTGTTTGATACTTATTTCGAAATTTATGCATGCTCCCTCAACCAGAGGCTATCTATTGTCTTGTTTCTCATATATAAATTGCATTTTGAGCTCAATTACGAATTTGGAAAATTAAAATCAGATAAAACTGGGTTTTCTGGAGAGGTGGGCTTCCCTTCGGTGCCTTACACAGGAAGTTCAGAGGCTTAAACTTGCAAAAATGGTGCAAACCTGCAGGCATATAAATACTGATCCTAATTATTATTGAAATACACATAGGAAATGACTACTTCCGGTTTCAGCTCCAGTTAAAGTAAAAAATCTGAAAATATTGTGAAATTCCATACTTTTGGTCCAAATGACCTTCTTAAGACTACTGAACCAAGATCAGATTCACTTCCACCTAACAACTGTTGGGGTCAATTTGTTAACTATGGTCCACTCTACATGCAGACTACAGCTGGATACCTATACCAGCATATCTGAGTCTTCCAGGTCAAAAAAAAGGATGAAAAATCGTCAAATTGATGCTTTTGGAACCTGATGACCAACTTTGGGGCAAATTCCTGCCCACCCTTATTAATTAAGGATATGCATGGTTGTCATGAAGTAATTACGAAAAGGAGACGTGTAATTTTCAGTGAAACAACTATTCAGAATTCAGAATCCCTTTAGATTCAACCAATTTTTTTCAATTTTTGTACCTGATGTTTTATTATGAATTGAATTCCTATTAAATTATATCCTTGTTTTGTTTGTTCTGCATTATAATTATTCTTTACCATTTCAGTTTTACTGTAGAGGGTTGGATTAATTTACCAACAGGATATTCTTCAGCTAAACTTCCATTTGTATGTTCCAATTCAAGTGATTTTTGTGTGTATATAGAGAATGGGAATCTGCATACACAAATAGGAAGCAGAATCGTCAGTGGATCAACTATGTTACCAGCAAACAACTGGACACATATAGCAAGTGTGTATAATGCACAAGGTAAGTCATGTCAGCAAACAACTGGACACATATAGCAAGTGTGTATAATGCACAAGGTAAGTCATGTCAGCAAACAACTGGACACATATAGCAAGTGTGTATAATGCACAAGGTAAGTCATGTCAGCAAACAACTGGACACATATAGCAAGTGTGTATAATGCACAAGGTAAGTCATGTCAGCAAACAACTGGACACATATAGCAAGTGTGTATAATGCACAAGGTAAGTCATGTCAGCAAACAACTGGACACATAAAGCAAGTGTGTATAATGCACAAGGTAAGTCATGCAAACAACTGGACACATATAGCAAGTGTGTATAATGCACAAGTTAAGTCATATATAAACAACTCGACACATATAGCAAGTTTGTATAATGCACAAGGTAAGTCATGCAAACAATTGGACACATATAGCAAGTGTGTATAATGCACAAGATAAGTCATGTAAACAACTGGACACATATAGCAAGTGTGTATAATGCACAAGTTAAGTCATATAAACAACTCAACACATATAGCAAGTGTGTATAATGCACAAGGTAAGTCATGCAAACAAGTGGACACATATAGCAAGTGTGTATAATGCACAAGGTAAGTCATGTAAACAACTGGACACATATAGCAAGTGTGTATAATGCACAAGTTAAGTCATATAAACAACTGGATACATATAGCAAGTGTGTATAATGCACAAGATAAGTCATGTAAACAACTGGAATCATATAGCAAGTGTGTATAATGCACAAGATAAGTCATGTAAACAACTGGACATATATAGCAAGTGTGTATAATGCACAAGGTAAGTCATGCAAACAAGTGGACACATATAGCAAGTGTGTATAATGCACAAGATAAGTCATGTAAACAACTGGACACATATAGCAAGTGTGTATAATGCACAAGTTAAGTCATTTAAATAACTCAACACATATAGCAAGTGTGTATAATGCACAAGTTAAGTCATATAAACAACTGGACACATATAGCAAGTGTGTATAATGCACAAGATAAGTCATGTAAACAACTGGACACATATAGCAAGTGTGTATAATGCACAAGATAAGTCATGTAAACAACTGGACATATATAGCAAGTGTGTATAATGCACAAGATAAGTCATGTAAACAACTGGACACATATAGCAAGTGTGTATAATGCACAAGATAAATCATATAAATAATTCCACACATATAGCAAGTGTGTATAATGCACAAGATAAGTCATATAAATAATTCCACACATATAGCAAGTGTGTATAATGCAGAAGGTAAGTCATGCAAACAACTGGACACATATAACAAGTGTGTATAATGCACAAGGTAAGTCGTGCAAACAACTGGACACATATAGCAAGTGTGTATAATGCACAAGTTAAGTTATATAAACAACTCGACACATATAGTAAGTGTGTATAATGCACAAGGTAAGTCATGCAAACAATTGGACACATATAGCAAGTGTGTATAATGCACAAGTTAAGTCATATAAACAACTCAACACATATAGCAAGTGTGTATAATGCACAAGATAAGTCATGTAAACAACTGGACACATATAGCAAGTGTGTATAATGCACAGGTTAAGTCATATAAACAACTCAACACATATAGCAAGTGTGTATAATGCACAAGGTAAATCATGCAAACAAGTGGACACGTATAGCAAGTGTGTATAATGCACAAGGTAAGTCATGTAAACAACTGGACACATATAGCAAGTGTGTATAATGCACAAGATAAGTCATATAAACAACTGGACACATATAGCAAGTGTGTATAATGCACAAGATAAGTCATGTAAACAACTGGACACATATAGCAAGTGTGTATAATGCACAAGGTAAGTCATATAAACAACTGGACACATATAGCAAGTGTGTATAATGCACAAGATAAGTCATGTAAACAACTGGACACATTTAGCAAGTGTGTATAATGCACAAGATAAGTCATGTAAACAACTGGACACATAGAGCAAGTGTGTATAATGCACAAGGTAAGTCATATAAACAACTGAACATATATAGCAAGTGTGTATAATGCACAAGGTAAGTCATATAAACAACTGGACACATATAGCAAGTGTGTATAATGCACAAGGTAAGTCATGTCAGTGCATTTAAAAAGGTTAAAGTATTTGTTTAAAAAACAAAATCTGTAGTGATAGCAGTTGTTGCTTTGAAATATATTCATACCTGCAGTAAACCAGTAAGTCTTTAATCAATACTGTTACAAAGTCAAAAAAGTTTAGATACACATAATTTTGCAATTTAAAGATGACATTTTCTCTTTGTAAAGACATTATATTTATATGAAAACTCTTGATGCCTTGTAATGTCTGAATACACACCAACAATTTTTAGCTCACCTAAGTTTATCAATTTAACACACTAGTAATATATTTAAATATTGTTTTATCAGTACCAACATTGTTTTGTATATGAAAAATAAAAGAATAATTAATGTAGATTCATGGTATGCTGCCATCTTGGATTGTACAATTAGAGTACAACATCGGTCTAATTATTTGCCCAAATCTGCAAATTTGGAGACAGATTTGCAATTTAATGGTTAGACTGTTTATTTATATAAAGAAAACTTGCTGATTTATTGTATTATTCAAAATATTTAAACAAATATCATTTTTTTAGCTCACCTGGGCCGAAGGGCCATGTGAGCTTTTCTTATCGCTTGGCGTCGTTGTCGTCCTTGTTAACTTTTACAAAAATCTTCTCCTCTGAAACTACTGGAACAAATTTAAACTAACTTGGCCGTTTTTGGTTATTATCTTGAATATTATTATAGATAGAGATATACTGTAACAGCAATAATGTACAGCAAAGTAAGACCTACAAATAAGTAAACATAAAATGGTCAGTTGACCCCTTAGGGAGGTATTGCCCTTTATAATCAAATTTTAACAATTTTTCGTAAATTTTTGTAATCTTTTACAAAAATCTTCTCCTCTGAAACTACTGAGACAAATTTAACCAAACTTGTCCACAATCATCAATAGGGTATCTTGTTTAAAGAATGTGTCCGATGATCCCACCGGCAAACCAAGATGGCGGACATGGCTAAAAATAGTACATAGGGTAAAATGCAGTTTTTGGCTCATATCTCTGAAACCAAAGCATTTAGAGCAAATCTGACACGATAAAATAGTTCATTAGGTCAATATCTATCTGACCTGAAGTTTTCAGACCAATCAGGCAACCCATTGTTGAGTTGCTGCCCCTGAATTGGTAATTTTAAGAAAATTTTGCCGTTTTTGTTTATTATCTTGAATATTATTATAGATAGAGATAAACTGTAAACAGCAATAATGTACAGCAAAGTAAGACCTACAAATAAGTGAACATGACCAAAATGGTCAGTTGACCCCTTAAGGAGTTACTGCCCTTTATAGTCAAATTTTAACAATTTTTCGTAAATTTTTGTAATCTTTTACAAAAATCTTCTTCTCTGAAACTACTGAGACAAATTTAACCAAACTTATCCACAATCATCAAAAGGGTATCTTGTTTAAAGAATGTGTCCGATGACCCCACCGGCAAACCAAGATGGCCGACATGGCTAAAAATAGTACATAGGGTAAAATGCAGTTTTTGGCTCATATCTCTGAAACCAAAGCATTTAGAGCAAATCTGACACGATAAAATAGTTCATTAGGTCAATATCTATCTGACCTGAAGTTTTCAGACCAATCAGGCAACCCATTGTTGAGTTGCTGCCCCTGAATTGGTAATTTTAAGAAAATTTTGCCGTTTTTGTTTATTATCTTGAATATTATTATAGATAGAGATAAACTGTAAACAGCAATAATGTACAGCAAAGTAAGACCTACAAATAAGTGAACATGACCAAAATGGTCAGTTGACCCCTTAAGGAGTTACTGCCCTTTATAGTCAAATTTTAACAATTTTTCGTAAATTTTTGTAATCTTTTACAAAAATCTTCTTCTCTGAAACTACTGAGACAAATTTAACCAAACTTATCCACAATCATCAAAAGGGTATCTTGTTTAAAGAATGTGTCCGATGACCCCACCGGCAAACCAAGATGGCCGACATGGCTAAAAATAGTACATAGGGTAAAATGCAGTTTTTGGCTCATATCTCTGAAACCAAAGCATTTAGAGCAAATCTGACATGATAAAATTGTTCATTAGGTCAATATCTATCTGCCCTGAAGACTCAGAAGTTTTCTGCCCTATTAGGCTACCCTTTGTTGGGTTGCTGCCCCTGAATTGGTAATTTTAAGAAAATTTGGCAGTTTTTGGTTATTATCTTGAATATTATTATAGATAGAAATTAACTGTAAACAGCAATAATGTTCAGCAAAGTAAGATCTTCAAATAAGTCAACGTGACCTAAATGGTCAATTGACCCCTTAAGGAGTTATTGTCCTTTATAGTACATTTTTAACAAGATTTTGTAAATTTTTCGTATTTTAGTTTAGTTTATATTATGCTGTTTTTTTAAAGCAATTGCTTTTATGCCATCGCGTATGGCCATCTTTGTGACTCAAATCAGAGACTCCGCCCAGATCAAGCAATAGTATTTTGTTAAACAGGCTCCTGGTCAGTCATTCTTAAACACCTATGTATGTTTTCTAATGCAATACATAGCTTGAAACTTTTGAAAAACGTTAGTGGATTTAAGAGGTTTCAGCATATGTTCTTGTAGATGTATTTTTGTATTTAGGGGGACAACCGTTTGACTATCAAAAAACATAGAAGTCTGAGTGAAAAAAAGTGCATTTTTATACCTGCGATTCCGTTCTCCTTTCGTACGATGTTTCAACAAAATATGGAATCATTTCAGTTGTTGATTTAGTATTGAAAATTTTACTGAATTATCTCTTATTAAATACGGTTTTATATGTTTAATTGGTGTTTCTCTAAGAAAGAGGCCAGGTGCTCTTGTTCATTCATAAAGTTATCGTTCATTCATAAATTTATCGTAAAATCAAAATCACTACACAGGTTATACGTAGTGTCAAATGATAACCTGTAATCTAAAAATAGACAAACTTAACTGACCTATTTTTAGCTCACCGGGGCCCAAAGGGCCCCATGTGAGCTTATGCCATCACTTGGCGTCCGTTGTCGTCCGTCGTCTGTCGTCGTCGTAAACTATTTCAAAAATCTTCTCCTCTGAAACTACTGGGCCAAATACCTTCAAACTTTAATTAAATGTTCCTTAGGGTAACTTGTTTATAAATTGTATCCGAAGTTTGTATCCATCGACAAACATGGCCGCCATGGCTAAAAATAGAACATAAGGGTCAAATGCAGTTTTTGGCTTATATCCCAAAAACTAAATCTTTTAGAGCAAATGTGACCTGGGGTAAAATTGTTTAAATGGTCAAGATCTATCGGCCCTGAAATTTTCAGACGAATCGAACAACCCATTGTTGGGTTGCTGCCACCAAATTGGTAGTTTGAACAAAATTTTGCAGTTTTTTGTTATTATTTTGAACATTACTATAGATATATTTTAACTGTAAGCAGCAATATTGTTCAGCAAAGTAAGATCTACAAAAAAATTAATATGACCAAAATTGTCAATTGACCCCTTAAGGAGTTATTGCCCTTTAAAGACAATTTTACACAATTTGTTCATCAAGTTTGCTAACATTTAAAAATCTTCTCCTTTGAAATACAGGTGAGCGATTCAGGCTCTTGAGAGCCTCTTGTGTTGATTTGTTTGCACAAATAATTTAGCGGAACAAAACCCTTGTTAAAAACACATAACAATAAGTTCATTTTCCTTTTTTGTCATAACTCCGTAAGATTAATCGATCATCTTACTAATGAAATGGACCCGTCAAAACATGATAGATGCCAAGTCCAGATGAAGAGATATTTACAATTTGGAATTTTCTAGTTTCATAGATTGAAAAAAAGTACGTCCTTTTGGATATCATAATCAAAACTGGGTATGCATGACAAATGATGAAACCATAACCTCGTCTTTCCAGTGGACGAGTCTACTATGTGTGTTGACACTCGACAGTCCATCGTGTTTGCAATTTTATTTCACATGTTTTCGAAATATTGAAGATCATTTTTCGCAATGTTTCCTGAAAATTGATAAATATCAAAGCAACGAAGAGCTGTTTGTTCTTGTTCGTATAATGTCGATTTAATGTCATGTTTGTCTGTGATAACCCCCCTTTTCGGGATTGCATGATAATTATAGTTATCTCGTACCGCATGAGGATGAAACATATCAACTGAGCAATAATGTTTTTGGGACTTAATTTTAAGAAATGAAGACAAAGTAACATTATGAAAATATTTTTAGTAAGCTGAAATATATATTTATTTTTTACATGTTTATGTCTTGTAAGATATTTTATTTCTTTCCCGTTTTTCAACATTTGTGTCTGGAAAGTTGAAATGTTTTAATTGAATGGTTAAATTTAAATTAGTTATGATAATTGTTAAAATTAAATCAATAAAGGAAATTATTGCCCAGTTACAAACATTACCAGGGGATAATTTCTTTTTGAGTTATATGTTTCAGCACATGTAAATTTGACCCCAACTTTAGCCTGGTAAACTTTTGTCTCCTTGTGAAATATAAAACATATCAAAACTGACTTTCTGCTAAAGTCTTTTATTGATATAAAGTTAAAACCTTCTTACTTCTCACTAGACAACACTCCTGTCAGGTTTAATTCTTATATATATGTGGATGAAAAATAAAAGTCCCTTAAACATTAACATGGCAGCAATTGCTTTTACAGCCTTTAATGCTTTGATTAATTTTTTATTACAGAAAAGTCAGTAACATTGTATGTCAATGGTGTAAATGGATTAGATGTTCAGATCACAGATGCTACAGAAATTGTTTGGGTAAACAAATCTCTGTTATTCACATAGCACTTTTAGTCGTCAAATTGTTATACTGTAAATTCAGAAATTAATGTTTGGCATTTGTGTGCACTAATTATTGTGATCACTGATCACAGGAGATTTAATACTGCCTTATAATGGTATGACATTGTCTTCCTCATCATAAGACATAATATATATTTGGTTTCCAGACAATAACTTAGTATGAGTTTATGGATTTCTATGAGATTTTACCACATTTTACAACAAGGTTCCATACAACAATAAGAAGGTTTGATTTGTATCCTAATTGTTTAGGAATAATAGGGCAAAAAGGGGTAAAAAACAAACAAGTTTCTTGTTTCAGGAAAATCAATTTTTGTAAAATTGTATGGATCTCTACGAAATTGTGCCACAAGGTTCCATACCACCAAAGGAGGGTTGGGATCGATTTTGGGGGGAAAAACATGCATGTTTTTAGTTTAAAATAAATAAAACTTAAAAGAAAAAAAAATGATGCATATGTTTTTTATAACTAAAAAAAAAGAACTCAGGGGAAAATTCAAAATGGAAAGTCCTTAATCAAATGGCAAAATCAAAAGCTCAAACACATCAAACGAATGGATAACAACTGTCATATTCCTGACTTGGTACAGGCATTTAGAAAAAAAATGGTGGATTGAAAGCTAGCTAAACCTCTCACTTGTATGACAGTCGCATCAAATTCCATTATGATGACAACAATGCTTGAACAAAGCAAACAGACATAATAGGTAAAAATTTCAAAAATAGAGGTACAGCAGTCAACATTTTGTTACAATCTTAATCACTATAAAAACAAACAAATATGTAACAAGGAAGCACAAAAAGGCATATAGCAATGCTTGTGTATTTAATTTCATAACAAAATGTTGTTAACTCTAATACTCCCTTTTGTATGTGTAAACTTAACATTGTTTGTTCATTTTTTATTTGATAGTACAAGATGACTTGACATGCCCTTCCTATACATGTTAGTGGAGATTTTTGAATAATTTGAGATTTCTTACTTCAATTTGAAATAAACTAACTTATTGTAACAACAGTTTAAAAAAACTATCAAAACTACAAGCAAAACTTTATTTCTATTTCAAACAATATAAACCATACCAATTAAACTGTTTTTGATGTTATATAGACATAATAATGCTTGACAATAATCATGGTCCAACAAACACAAACAAGGAAAATATCTAATTTCTTCATGCATTTCCTCTTATAGAATGATGTGTTATAAACTATATATAAAAAAGAAGATGTGGTATAATTGCCAATGAGACAACTCTCCACAAGAGCCCAAATGATACAGAAATTAACAACTCATAATATGTCACTGTATGGCCATCAACAATGACCAAAGCCTGTACTGCATAGTCAGCTATAAAAGGCCCCGAAATGACAAATGTAAAACAATTGAAACGAGAAAACAAATGGCCTTATTTATATACAAAAATGAAAGAAAAACAAATCTGTAACACATCAACAAACAACAACCACTGAATTACAGGCTCCTAACTTGGGACAGGCACATACATACAGAATGTGGCAGGGTTAAACATGTTAGCGGGATCCCAACCTTCCCCCTAACCTGGGACAGTGTTGTCACATTACAATATAAGAACAAACTATAAAAATGAGTTGAAAAAGGCTTAACTCATCAGATGGATACAAATAGAAATACTACACAAAGTGGACGTGGCTGGGTACTTGTATATCCCAACAACAACAAAAACGATCTGAGAGTACTCGCAGTTACTGACAGCTAGTTCAAAGCCACTAATAAAAAAATCATGCATCTAAGACTAAATTATAAATCAGTACACATCAAACATCTAATAGATTTAGTGTAAAGACGTCATAAACAGTCAGAGAAAAACATTACCTTGTGCAATGCCAAGATACAGGTATCGACAGATTGTAGATGCATGAATGTGTATATGTATATAACAATAATATTTAGTTTCCTTTTAATTTACTGATAACAAAATCAATATTAATACCAATAAAAACAATATTCAATGATCTAATTACAGTGTTGAATTGGTAACCTTTTAGAATAAGTTTATTTAAAGGATCGATAAGTTTACCAGGATCATTTCTAAATTTCTGGAGACGGTAAACAACATTTCCGTAAAAATGAGGATGTGCTATCCAGTTTGAAATAAGTTTTCTACAGGTTCAGCCAAACTTCAAAACGAAATCTTTATATTTATGGAAGAATTTGGTAAAGGTTTTAAGTAATTTGTGGTACATAATTCCTGGCTTAATAAATTACTAGTGATACATAGATAACGTTCATTAAAATCAAAAACTCACTACAGACGCGGGCATAGTGAACATATGCCTACTGTATACTCGACATTCTCAAGGCTCAATAACTGTTGTAGTAGGCTATATACCTAGTGCAAATATAACAATTGTACTGAATTAGACAATTTACATGGTTTATAAGAACATGAGCAACATGTTGGGTGCCACCTGTGGAGCAGGATCTGCTTACCCTTCCGGAGCACCTGAGATCACCCCCAGTTTTTAGTGGAGTTCGTGTTGCTTAGTCTTTAGTTTTCTATGTTGTGACTTGTGTACTATTATTTGTCTTTTGTCTTTTTCTTTTTTTAGCCATGGCGTTGTCAGTTTATTTTTGATCTATGAGTTTGACTGTTCCTCTGGTATCTTTTGCCCTTTTTCTCTTGTCCTGATGTGAATTTCTTGTCAAGTCTACCCAGAATTACAAGTATTATACAAGTATTTTTATTTGCAGGATGGTAACATGGTATTGTATCTAGGATCAGATCTTGTACACTACATGCAGAATGTGAAAGTTGATGATGTAAGTTTAGTACTGTAGATTCATTTCTTTTTCGTGGGTACCAATTTTCGTGGATTGAGGAAAACTTGCATTTTCGTCGATATTTAATTTTGTGGATTTCACAAAGTATGCATATAATCATACAGCGAATTTGTGATTCTTTGAATATTTACTTTCATGGTTTCCCTGTACCCACTTAATTATAAAAGTTGGTATCCAACGAAAGATAATGAATCCACAGTATGTTCATATGATTATATCACTTTGTTTCCAATGTCAGTCTATTACTTTGTTTACTTTTTAGCGTGGTCACCCTGATATTCCGACACCCCTTTATTCAGACACTTCATTGGTCCGACACCCCATTAGTCAGACACACCATTAGTCTGACAACCCAATAGTCTGACAAAGGTTAAGTATGGCCAAAATAGAAAATTTACTTCATAGAATCGTTGCTGACATGGTATTTGAACTACTCTTTCTTATGATATAAAAATAAGGAGGTGAGTTATGATTGTCATTGAGACAACAATCCACCAAAGGTTTTTAAAAAAGTGGATGTAAGAAATTATAGGCAACTGTACAGCCTTCAACAATGAAAATGAAATGCTCCGCAGGGCGCAGCTTCATACAACCGCAGAGGAGGAACTCTGAACAATTGGGGCCAGAATGGACACAACATTCAAGCTTGATACAGCTCTGAATTTGGATTGTGATTAAATGTTTGACACAGCATAGGTTTCTGACACAGAATGAATGTGGTCTAATTGAACTTAAAAATTTAAATTTACCTATTATGGTCCAATATCCAAAATCTAAATACATGGATTGATTCAGCATATCAAAGAATTCAAAGAATTAAATTTTTGACAAAATCAAACAAACTTTTATTTTAGACCCTTTTGAGCTCAATGTGGACCAATTTGATAACAGGGCCCAAAAATCAAAACTATAAATATATGGTTAGATTAAGCATATCAAAGAACCCCATCTATTCAATTTTTGTTGAAATCAAACAAAGTTAAATTTTGGACCCTAATTTGGATCAATTTGAAAACTGGACCCATAATCAAAAATCTAAATACAGGTTTAGATTCAGCATATCAAAGAACCCCAAGATTTCAATTTTTGTTAAAATCAAACAAAGTTTAATTTTGGAATCATTGGACCTTAATGTAGACCAATTTGAAAACGGGACCCAAAATTAAAATTCTAAATACACGGTTAGATTGGGCATATCAAAGAACCTCTATAATTCAACTTTTGATGAAATCAAACAAAGTTTAATTTTGGACCCTTTGGACCTCATGTGGACCAATTTAAAAACAGGGCCCAAATTCCAAAAACTTAATACACGGTTAGATTCAGCATTTAAAAGAACCCCAAGAATTCAAGAATAAAACTCCATTGAAATTGGTCAAGAAATAAGCAATTTATACAAAGTATTAGAAAAGTATTGTTTTTGGCCCCTAATTCCTAAACAGTTTTGGCCATAACCCCCAAAATCCATCCCAACCTTCCTTTTTAGCTCACCTGGCCCAAAGGGCCAAGTGAGCTTTTCTCATCACTTGGCGTCTGTCATCCCGCGTCCGTCGTCCGTCGTCCGTAAACTTTTACAAAAATCTTCTCCTCTGAAACTAATGGGCCAAATTTAACCAAACTTGGCCACAATCATCATTAGGGTATCTAGTTTAAAAAATGTGTCCGGTGACCCGGCCAACCAACCAAGATGGCCGCCATGGCTAAAAATAGAACATAGGGGTAAAATGTAGATTTTGGCTTATATCTCTGAAACCAAAGCATTGAGAGCAAATCTGACATGTAATAAAAATGTTTATCAGGTCAAGATCTATCTGCCCTTAAATTTTCAGATGAATCGGACAACCCGTTGTTAGGTTGCTGCCTCTGAATTAGTAATTTTAAGGAAATTTTGTCGTATTTGGTTATTATCTTGAATATTATTATAGATAGAGATAAACTGTAAAAACAATAATGTTCAGCAAAGTAAGTTCTACAAATAAGTCAACATGACCAAAATGGTCAGTTGACCCCTTAAGGAGTTATTGCCCTTTTATAGTCAATTTTTAACAATTTTTCGTAAATTTTTGTTATCTTTTACAAAAATCTTCTTCTCTGAAACTACTAAGATGAATTTAACCAAAGTTGTAAACAATCATCATTAGGGTATGTAGTTTAAAAATTGTGTCTGATGACTCCGCCCACGAACCAAGATGGCCGACATGGCTAATAATAGTACATGGGGTAAAATGCAGTTTTTGGCTCATATATCTAAACCCAAAGCATTTCGAGAAAATCTTTCAAAAACAAAATTGTTCATTAGGTTAAGATCTATCTGCCCTTAAATTTTCAGACCATTCAGGCAACCCGTTGTTGGGTTGCTGCCCCTGAATTGGTAATTTTTATAAATTTTTTTCAGCTTTTGGTTATTATCTTGAATATTATTATAGATAGAGATAAACTGTAAACAGCAAGAATGTACAGCAAAGTAAGACCTACAAATAAGTCAACATGACCAAAATGGTCAATTGACCCCTTAAGGAGTTATTGCCCTTTATAATCAATTTTTAACAATTTTCATAAATTTTGTAAATTTTTACATAATAATTTCCACTGAAACTACTTGGCCAAGTTCATTATAGATAAAGATAATTGTAAGCATCAAGAATGTTCAGTAAAGTAAGATCTACAAACACATCACCATCACCAAAACACAATTCTGTCATGAATCCATCTGTGTCCTTTGTTTAATATGCACATAGACCAAGGTGAGCGACACAGGCGTTTAAGAGCCTCTAGTTTTGGTATGGAACCTTGTGGTAAAGTTTCAGAAAGATCCATACACTTACACACAAGTTATTGTTTGGAAACTAAAAAAATACTTATTTTTATCCCTTTTGGGCTTAGTGTTCCTAAACTGTTGGGACCATAACCCCCAAAATCAGTCCCAACCTTCCTTTTGTGTTTTCAAACCTTGTGTTAATGTTTCATAGAGATCCATGCACTTAAACTAAAGTTGTAGTCCGGAAACAAAGTGTCATCGGACGACGATGACGTGATACTAATATACGGCCGCAAAATTTTGTTGAGGTCGTATAATAACCCATACTGTAAAGTCAGTTATGTCAGCCCTGACATGAAAATATGAAAGAATTTAATAGAGATAACTCACAACCTAATGTATAACTAAACAAAAAATTAAACGAAAAACAAATACGACAGACATGGTTGGATGGAGAGTAGTCATTGGCGTTCATACCACAACCTCTTATATCAATGAACCAATGACAACTACAAGAGTACAGACTCCTGACTTAGGACAGGCACACAAAGAATGTGAAGGGGTTAAACATGTTTGTGGTCGCCCCATCCCCATCCCCTAAGTTTGGACAGTGGTGTTACAGCACCAACTTTAAAAATCAGTTGAAAAGGGCTTAACTCACCAGATCGATACCAAGTGGAAAAACATCAAACATAAACACAGACCAGACGTGGAAGGGTATTTTTTCCAATAAGCACCAATTATCAGGTTGTCTGCATGTTGATATTGTAAAATTAAAGTAAGTTTCTGTGGTAAATTCAGGCAGTATATTGTAAAATATCAGCTGCGAGTCACAATATAAAGCTTTTTGTTGAGTGAGCACAGCGAACGAGATCAAAAAGCTTTCATATTGTGTCAAGCAGCTGATATTTTCAAACATTAATATGTAAATAGCCTGATAATTGATTTATTGGGCTGTTTTTGCTTCTTTTAAGTTTGGGTCAAACTTATCAGCGTCAGTTCAAACATTATGACATGGCTGATATTTCCGGGTGAAAGTTATTGATGCTGGGTCAACACATTTGACATCACAAAGCCATGATATGCAATTTTATTAAGAGCTGAGCTGAGTGATATAGACATTGGGACCACCGATAACAACTAATAAATAAATCATTTATCATAACTAAAAAATGAATCAGTACACATCCACCATCCAATGGATTTAGTGTAAAGACATCATTAACAGTCGGGTATCGACAGATTGAAGTACCATTAAAGTGCATGCATATGCACTTTATATTGCTGTTAATATTTGATTTATTTAAAGTAAGTTTCTGTGGTAAATTCCAGCAATATATTAAGAGAATTCTTGGTTATTTACTGAAAAAAATACCATTATAATATTTTATGTTCTTTATGAATTTGTCATTATCAAAGTTTGAGAACTCTCAGGAAGATAGATTAGTTTTAACTAAAGAGATTAACCTCTTGTACTGAAGATTTTTTTTTTATTTACTTAAACATGAATCAGTCAATTATTGGATTAAATGAACATGTCACTGGAATTTTAATCTAAAATGATGTAAAATGTTGTTCAATTATTCCGTGTTGGACTATAGGGGTGTCGGACTATTGTGGCAGCAGACAAATGGGGTGACAGACTAATGGGGCGGCGGACTATTGGGATGTCGGACGAATAGGCCGTCAGACCAATGGGGCGTCAGAATAACAGGGCTGCCCCCTTTTAAGTTTAGCATCCCATTCCTCTTTTTCTGTTCATTTGTCCTCAACATGTAGAAAAACAAGCTGATAATTATTAAAAAAAATTACAGTACTATACCTCAGCTCAACACAGAAGACTAGTCTACATTATTACTTTTTATATGACTGCAAACAAATTTTGGGGATTGTATAATGCTATCATGTCTCTCATAGTCGTTGTCTTCTGAAGACATTTAAGTTTATGTGTATGGATCTCTTTGAAATTTAAGCAAAAGGTTCAATACCACAAAAAGAAGGTTGGGAAGGAAGGGGGTGATGGTCCCAACCTTTAAGGAATTATGGGCCAAAAAGAGTCCCAAAACAAGCATTTTCCTAGTTTCAGGACAATAATTTGTGTATTGAAGTAATTTGATTGCTCTGAAATTGTACCACAAGCCACAAGGTTTAATACCACAAGTCAAAGGTTGGGGTCACAATTGCTAATTATTTGTATATAGTCTGGAAACAGATTTACTAAGTATTGTGCAACAACACAGTATACAGTGGATTGTACAATAGCAAGAAATCTTGAATATAAATTCAAATCATATAACCAATTTTAAGTACTTTGACTTCATTTAATCTGTGTCAGAAACCTATTATGTGTCAAATAATTAATTACAATCCAAATTCAGACCTGTATCAAGCTTGAATATTGTGTTCATTTTTGCCCAACTAGTCAGGTTTAGACCTCTGCGGTCGTATCCACTGTGCTCGGGACGCAGTTTATTTAAATTGCAATTGAATAAGTCTGTTTCTGATTGGCTTAAATCTGTTACACTCCTGACATAGAAGTATTGAGAAACAAAGCATGCTAGTAACTGATGATCTGTAGTTAGTTTAAACATATTTATTTATAGTGGATTGGGAAACAAGTTATGCAACTTATATTAATCTCTTTCGACTTTTCGGGTGATCTGTAGTTCACTGAAATTCAAGAAAAAAAGACAAGATTAACAACATTGTTTCTGTAAAAAATAGCATCTAAACTTAGTTACAAAATTAGATTTGATAAAGTGAACGATAAAAACCTTTTTTTTAATATGGACAATTATTAAAATTATCAACAAATAAATACTTAAATTCATACTGAAATGCTTTATATAATTGTTTGCTTTTGTTACAGGTAAGAATCTACAACATCCAAATTCCTGGCTCAGATTTAGATTTGTATTGGCAGACTGCTAATATGGAGAGGGAACAGTCTAAGAAAACTATGGCAGCACATTATAACATGAACAATCAAACTGACCGTAAGCTTAAACCATAAAATTGTTTAATAGAAGATTACCAGATAACTGAGTGAATGTACATATTATTTGTACCAATTATCAGGTTGTCTGCAGATTGATATTGTAAAATATCAGCTGAGAGTCACAATATGAATCTATTTGTCGGGTGAGCTTAGAGAACGACTTAAAAACAGATTCATATTGTGTGCTCAGCAGCTGATATATTACAATATAGATGTGATGTCGATAATCAGTTTATCAGATTGTATTAGTGTAGTTTGCATGATATAAACAAGTGTTGTTTTTTTTTGTTTCATCAGCAAACTGGAGGATTACTTGAATAGATAAATAAATGAATAAATAATCTTTATTTCAAGAGGATAATCTTCCTGAGAATCCTCAAATTATCAACTGGGTGAAATAAAAAGAAGTCAATAGGTATAATTCGTATTTGCCTGTTATAAATATTTTTTCAATATTACAAAACACAACATATCATAAATAATTCAATACACAAATGAAAATACATAAACATAAATATATAACCAAATTTTTTGGCAAATATCTGCTATAAATTTATAAAAAAAGAAAAAAAAATTAGAAAGAGGGAGGGAGGGTGGGTAATTTCAACGTAATATCAAATTCAAAAAGTAAAGAAAACACTTTGCAATAGTATAAATAAACAATTAACAACAAAGGAAATGTTTATATCCAATAAAAAGAGCGAAATAATCTAGATAAATTTAATACAAGAGTTTATACTAACAAAAATCTAGTTTGAACCCGTGTGATTACTGAGGTGTAGAAATATAAGTTTCACTGTTTTGCTAATTAAATAATTTAAATCTTTAATCAAACCAAATAATAATAACACATTTATAAAGTACATTTAATAGTTTTTCATCAGCTGAATGAAAATTATAATTTTGATTACCTCTAAGATTAAAGTTTTCTTGTAAATAGTTAGGAACCATATCTTTTAATGATTTAAGTATTGCCTTTTGATATTGAAGTTGTTTTTCCACATTTAAGAAGTTTAAATTAAACAATCAACTGGAGGATGTCATTATGCCAGCTTCTACTTTAACCCTAGCAGATTTCTTTGATAAATTATGAAGTTTATTTATTCCACTTTCATAACAACTACCCCATATATTGCAACAATAATTAATCGAACAATGGCAGAATATACACATTAAAATAAATAATATGTATATGCATTCTTATCTTTTGTAATAAGTTGATTCTATTTGATATTGTATGTGACATTTTATCTATTTGCTCATTCCAATTAAGGTTTTTGTCGATATAATAATAAACCAAGAAGTTTTTTACAATCTACATTCTCTATTTGTTCATCTGAAATATTGATATCTTAACTGTTCCCAGTTGAATAAAGCCTCTGTTTTGAATCAATAATCATTGATTTACATTTTTTGGCATTTACTTTCATACAATTTTGCAAACACTAGTTTTCAATTCCATAAATCTATTAATAAATTTTCAATGTTCATTGGTAAATTATTAATATATAAGATAAATAACAGAGGGCCAAGGATAGAACCTTGTAATACACTAGTTTTTGTCGAGTCTGCGACTTAAGTTGCAGAAAGCTCGACATAGGGATAGTGATTCGGCGGCAGCAGCGTTAACTAACTTCTTAAAAGCTATATATTTTAGAAGGTAAAAGACCTTGATGCTTCATACTTTGTATATAGAAGCCTTATGTTATGAAGTTTCTGTCTGTCTCATGTTCATTGTCCTCTACCTCATTTTCATGGTTCAGGGACTAATTGAAAAAAAAAGTTAAGATTTTTTGTAATGTCAATATCTCTTTTATTATGAGTGACAGGGTAAATATATTTAGTATGTGCGTACCTTGCAAGGTCCTCATCCCCGTCAGACAATTTTCACTTGACCTTGACCTCATTTAATGATCAATAAACAAGGTTAAGTTTTGGTGGTCAAGTCCATATCTCAGATACTATAAGCAATAGGTCTAGTATATTTGGCGTATGGAAGGATTATTAGGTGTAAATGTCCAACTGGCAGGCTTCATCTGACCTTGACCTCAATTTCATGGTTCAGTGGTTATAGGTAAGTTTTGGTGTTTTGGTCTGTTTTTCTTGTACTTTATGCAATAGGTTTTCTATATTTGGTGTATGGAATGATTATAAGGTGAACATGTCCAACTGGTGGGTGTCATCTGACCTTGACCTCATTTTCATGGTTCAGTGGTGAAAGTTAAGTTTTTGAGTTTTGCTCTTTTTTCTAATACTTTATGCAATGGTTCCTTTATGCAATAGTTGAACAACATTTGGTGTATGGAAATATTTTATAGTATACATGCATGTCAGTTGCACAGGTTTTATTTGACCTTGACCTCATTTTCACGGTTCATTGCTTAATGTTAAGATTTTGTGTTTTGGTCTGTTTTTCTTAAACTATAAGCAATAAGTCAACTATATTTGTTGTATGGAAGGATTGTAAGCTGTAAATGTCTGTCTGACAGGTATCATCTGACCTTGAACTCACTTTGGTGGTTCATTGGTCAATGTTATGTTTTAATGGTTAAGTTTGTTTCTTTGATACTATAAGCAATAGGTCAACTATATTTAATGCATAGATTGATTGTAATTATATAAGGTGTTAATGTCTGCCTGACATGGTTCATCTGACCTTGACCTCATTTTCATGGTTCATTGGTCAATGTTCAGTTTACTTGGTTTCGTCTGTTTCTTAGAAACTATAAGCAATAGGTCACTATATTAAGCGTATTGAATAATTGTAAGTTGTACCTGTATTTCCTGTTTGGTTTATCTGACCTTGACATATTTTTCTTGGATCATGTTAAGTTTATGTGATAGTTGTAGTTGTAGCTTTATTTTTAGGACTGTCATCATAATATCAATGGTATGTAAAGGCGAGACATTTCAGCGTGTGCACTCTTGTGCATTCTTTCTTTAAAAATTTTCTTCACTTTTAAATTGTTCAATGAATTATAACCAACAAAGGAGTAGGTCGATAGCACCCTAAAACGGCTCTTGTTTTTAGCTATAATTTCAAATTAGGATTTGTTGACCGATATCACAATGAATCATGCATAGTAAATACAATGACTAGATAGAAAATATGTCTTTTTGTTGAAAATTTACAAACATGCGTTCTATAAATTTTCAATGATTTTTTGGATAGGAAACATAGAACACATAGTGTCGACAAAAAAGCTGTTTTAACAAAATGTTTATTAAATGTTTGTTAAAACATTTTAGATATCTGACTTGAATATTGAGTTCATGTTGCTCTATATTTCCTTGACCATAATTTGGTTGAAATCTGTATGATTTCATCAACATTTAGTGACATAACTTGGAATGATACGAGTATAAATATAGCAGCGAAATTAAAATATTTGGAAGACTCAAAGTGAAGGGAAGGATAGTGCAGAATTTTAGTATGAGTTTAAACTCTTATGAATGCTATGTTGGGTTTCTATAGGAACCAATTTTTTTTAAGAACGAAACAATAATAACTGTGTTTATGGTTACTTTGCGTTATAGTCAAGTTAGTTTTAGCTTTATTTAATTTAACCGACTTTAGTTTTGTTTTATTTTGTTCCATCTCAGCGATGAATAATTGAGTAAGATATTAAAATCCAGGATGAACCTTTCATCAGTAATGGCAGGCATTGAAAGCTGACATATAGTAACTTAAAAAGGGAAATTGTAGAGTGGAACTGTTTAGTCTGCAAAACCGATGTGCACATTGCAGCATCACTTGTTTGTGATGGCTGCCTAGAGTGGATTCCACCAAAAATGCTTAGGACTTAAACATGCTTAAGACTTAAAAATGCTTAGGTCTTAAAAATGCATAGGTCTTAAAAATTCATAGGACTTAACCATGCTTAGGACTTAAGCATGTGTAGGACTTAGGCAAGCTTTTGACTTAAACATGCTTAGGACTTAAACATGCTTAGGTCTTAAAAATGCATAGAACTTAAGCATGCTTAGGACTTAAGTGTGCTTAGGACTAAAGCATGCTTAGGACTTAAGCATGCTTAGGATTTAAGCATGCTTAGGACTTTAAAATGCTTAGGACTTAAACATGCAGCCAAAAGCACCTCCAATGTGCAGAAGCTGTCCCATAAATTATATAATCTCATCCTGTCTGCAAAAGTGTATGTATCATTGAATTGTTTAGGAATCAAAGTTTTTCAAGTCAAGTTGTATTTAAATAATAAATCACATACATATGGGACATATTATATTACTATTCCCAGTATACATTGAAATGCATTATTGTAGCAATAACAATTTAACCAAGGACACAAATATAATTGTTATTTTCATAATTGATCAGACATAGCATTCCAGCAATTAGTGTTCAATGTAAAATAACTTTTTTGTTATTGTTATGTTTTCAAAAGTAACTGTAGCCAGTGCAAATTTTAAAAACTATAGGGGCTAGATTTAAATATTAAATGTTAATTAGTTTTTGCTGTTGTCTAAAAAACTATAGGAGCTAGGTTTGACTTGTGAATTACAAGAATGACAAGAAACCCAAAGAATAACTGTAGTATGTGCATTTGAAAGTCCTAATTAGCAAACTGGTGAACAGCTGTGCCAGTGGTTCAAAATTTTCCGCCAATTTTGATACCTACATCAAAAATAAGGGATCTATCAAATTATTGTGTCTTAACCTATTGTAAATTTTTTTCAGCATCTATCATCATGGACTTAGGACAAAGAAATATAGATATGATCATGACAGGTAGTCCATATTTTGTAGAGGTAAGATATGATCATGACAGGTAGTCCATATTTTGTAGAGGTAAGATATGAACATGACAGGTAGTCCATATTTTGTAGAGGTAAGATATGATCATGACTGGTAGTCTATATTTTGTAGAGGTAAGATATGATCATGACTGGTAGTCTATATTGTGTAGAGGTAAGATATGATCATGACAGGTAGTCCATATTTTGTAGAGGTAAGATATGATCATGACAGGTAGTCCATATTTTGTAGAGGTAAGATATGATCATGACAGGTAGTCCATATTTTGTAGAGGTAAAATGTGATCATGACTGGTAGTCCATATTTTGTAGAGGTAAGATATCATCATGACAGCTAGTCCATATTTTGTAGAGGTAAGATATGATCATGACAGGTAGTCCATATTTTGTAGAGGTAAGATATGATCATGACAGGTAGTCCATATTTTGTAGAGGTAAGATATTGATTGATTTGTTTTGAAAACTTTTAGTTTTTTATGCTCAAGCTGCTTTGGATGGTGCATTGAGTGTTACCTTTATTGTTCTTTGTACATTCGTCTGTCATCTGTCCCAAAATTATTTTCTGTTCTCAAACTTTAGTTTGCTTCAACCAAACATTATGAAACTAATACACAATGCTTATTACCACAAAACACAGATCATGGATGAATTTGGGTTTTGTCACTTTTACTGTTCTTGAGTTAGACCCCTTTTTTGTAACGTTATTAACAAGGGCCTTAGGGGCATCATCTGTGTCACATTCTCCACTTATTTTATTTTCAAATTCAAGAACCAAAGAGGTGCATGGCTTTATAATACCTTTTCAATAAGAAAAATTTATTGCATTTGGTTCAAAACACCCCAATTAAGCGTGTATATATTTTTGATTGAGTTAAGCCATTTCAATTGATATTTTACAGTGTGCCTTTTTATGTTGTTATGTTATACAACTGTCTCAGGTTAGGGTGAAGGTTGGCGTCTGTTAATACTTTTAAACCCCGCTGCATTTTTAAGCACCTGTCCTGAGTTGGGATCCTGTTTTTCAGTGGTTGTTATGTAGGTGTGTGGTTCATATTAAAGTTTTTCTTGTTTTTGTATCCTGCTTAATGCGTTGCATGGGACATGAAAATACTGGCGTCCATCCTCAGGTTTGACAGAATTCTTGCCAGATTTTTATAAAACTTGTACACTAGGTTAATATCAGCAATATCTCGAACAAGTTCTATAATGGTGGATGATCGACTTTTTTTAAAGAGTTATGCCCCTTGAAAAATGGCCATGTTAGCGCTCTCACTGGTTGAAGTTGTGCATCAGCTAAATGTTATTATTGAATTGGTAGAATTGTTTCATTTTTTCTTGTTAACTCACCGTTCTGAAGGAACTGTGAGCTTTAGCCATCTTTTGGTGTTTGTCGTCATTCGTCCAGTGTAAACTATCTCAAACATCTTCCCCTCTGAAACTACTGAACCAATTCCAACCAAACTTAAGCTGAATGATTCTTAGAGTATCTAGAATAAAGTTTGTGTTTTCTTTTCTGTTTCGTCATGAAAAAGCCATAAATATTCCATATTATGTATAAAAAAAACAAACCAGGGCAACACGGCAATATCACCAAAGTAAATTTAGAAAACTTCAAACTTCAACCAACACCTACAAATACTGCTTCTTTCCATCAAAGTCTGGAATACCTTACCAATAAGAATGTTAAATATAGAAGATGCAGAGGCATTCAAGAACAGCCTCACATCTTATTTAATAGAGTAGTCCCGCAACAAACACTAAAATTTTAATTTCGCATGTAGATATGTTTTAAATGAGCACCATATTGAATGACTTGATTAGTACTTGCGTGATGGGTCTTAGATTCTTTGCATTTCAACAATGTAGATGTAGATGTAGAAAACATGGCCGCCATAGCTAAAAATTGAACATAGGGGTAAAATGCAGTTTTTAGCTCACCTGGCTCACAGGGCCAAGTGAGCTTTTCTTATCACTTGGTCCAAGGACATAGTTATCGTCCTTTGGTTTTTGTTGTCTACGAATATAGTCCCTAGCTCTTACTTAAGTTTGCCTTAACCAAATGTTATGAAACCTATACACAATGCTTATTACCACAAAACACAGATCAAGTTTGAATTTCGGTGGCGTCACTTCAACCGTTCTAGAGTTATGCCCCTTTATAAATGGAAAAATTGCAAAATTTTTAGTTTCCGTTCTCAACCAAATGTTATGAAATAAATAAAATAAATAAAATAAAATTCTTTATTTAACGAAGGTAACACATTTAACAATTACATGTTAATCTTCCATGAGGCCTTCAAAAACTATTAATACAAATAGAAAAGAAAAAAGAAAAAAAAATACAAACAAAATAAAATACATAATACTGTTATACATAGCAGCTTAAATATTGAATAAGTACATATGCATTCAATAGAAGAAGAAAAAATACATTAGAATCAAGCATCTTCATTCTGTACAGTTAGAAAATAGTTTGAACATTTGATCTTAAATGTATCTAAATTATTTATTTCTTTAATATTATTTGGTAAATTATTCCAGGTAATAAGACCAGAATATTTAAATGAAACTTATACACAATGCTTTTTACCACAATACACAGATCAAGATTGAATTTTGGTGGCGTCACTTGAACCGTTCTAGAGTTATGCCCCTTTATAAATGGAAAAATTGCAAAATTTTTATTTTCTTCTAAATATCAAGTATTTTTTAAAATTGGAGTTATCTTCCTTTGTCCATGATTATAGTTGAATCAACTACAATCAATGCTTTATACAATGCAATGTTTAATTTTGACTTCCACTGATAATCACAGATCGAGTTGAATTTGGGTAGTGTCACTTTAACCATTATTGAGTTATTCCCCTTTATGCCAATTTTACATCTGCTTCAAACAAATTTGATGTACTGACTTATGTTCTGAATGCAATTTATTTCCATGCATGTGTAAATTATTTTCTTAGTCACAAGGGCTTCAGATTTCTGAGATAAAGAAAACTAGAAACACTAGAAAAACAATTAAAGAAAAGAATGAGAGTCATTTCTCACTTGACACAACCCAGGAAATGTCTACTGTCAAACTTTATAGTACTAATGATGGGTTGATTAGTTCTGATAATTTTAACACTGAATCTCAGACATCTGAACAGGATACATTACTTGGTATTAAACAGCATGATACAAACTGTGTAATGTTTGATGATGAGTCTAATGTAGATAATTTATTGTTACCTCTCCCTCAGGTCAGTTTAATGATTGATGTGAAATTATCCTATGTCTCTGTATTTACTTTAGCAATTATTGTTTGTATATATTATCTAATCAATTTAGAAAACCATGCATTGACAGGGAAACAAATAGACTTTAATGATAAGATTTTTAATTTTTATGGTTTTAGTAAATCCAAAGGTATAAGGATTTGTTCTCATAATGTTAATAGGATTGAAAGTAAATTTGAAGAAATTAAACATAACCATATGTTTTCTGATAACCAACCTGATGTATTAGGATTGTGTGAAACATTTTTAACAAAACACACTACTGATAATGAATTACAAGCACCTGGTTATGTATTTTGAAAGAAAGGACAGAACATCACAAAATGGGGGTGGTCTGATTGTTTATTTTTCTGAAACAATTAAATTTTTAAGAAAAAACAACATCGAAATAGGGGGTATTGAAACAATGTGGGTTGAAATTAAACCAGATTACAAAAAATCCTTTTTATTATGTTTTGTGTATAGGCCACCAAAGTCACTGATAGATTGGGTTGATGATTCTGATAAAGAAATAAGAGTGGCAATGACCATGAATTCAGATATAACAATTATAGGGGGGGGGGGGGGCCTCAATTATGGGTGATTTTAATTTTAAAGCACCAAACAAACCTCCTCAAAAATGGCTGAATGTTTTAGAATCATACAATTTTCATCAACTGATTGTAGATGCCACAAGGGTAACAAAAGATTCTAGTACATTGATTGATCATATTTATGTCAATAATCCAAATATGGTACAGGAATCACATGTGTGTAGATATGCAATTAGTGACCATTATCCTATCTGTTTAACAAGGAAAGAAGCAAATATAGGAAAAAAGAATACACACAGTACAATTACTTACAGAAATTTCAAAAATTTCAACCAAAATGAATTTTTATTAGATCTGCAAACTACACCATTTCATAAAATTGAATTTGAAGAAAATCCCTCCGACTGCCTACAATTGTTTTATGGTATGTTGAACAAGGCTTTAGATAAATATGCTCCTGTTGTTAAAAAGAGAGTTAAAAGGGACAGACAGCCTGAATGGTATAACAGTGAAATCATTTACACTAGGAATATGAGAGATAAATATAATGCACTTGGTTTATGGAGTGAGTATAGATTTTGGAGAGATAAAACTAAACAATTAAATTATAGATAACTCAAAAAAGAATTATTATAAAAATATGGTAAAAGACTCCAATGACCCTAAAACTTTATGGAAATGTCTTCACAGTCTGAACCCAAAAGTTAAAAATACACCATATGAGTTAGCCACAGAAGATAACAATTACAACTAAAAGTAAAAAATCAATAGCAGAAACTTTTAATAACTTTTTCACTTCCTGTGCTGAAAAATTAAAAGAACAAGAAAGTTATACACCTGTAAACAAAGCAGATTTCAGTAATTTTGATAAATTTGTTAAAAATAAATTACATAAACATGACAAATTTTCTATACCACCAGTGATCATGAATGAGCTATTTAATGAGTTAACAAAACTTGATATAAACAAAGCATCTGGTATGGATAATATTGGACCAAAAATCCTAAGATTAAGTGCCTCTTTTATTGCATCACCTCTCACATACATATTTAACCGAATGATAGATACTGGCATATATCCTTCTTTACTGAAGAATGCTAAGGTAACACCAGTTTTCAAGGATGGTGACAAGCTTTTAGCAACAAATTACAGACCTATATCTGTTCTTCCAACTTTATCAAAATTAATAGAAAGACATGTTTCTAATAATATGTACAAATACTTATCTAAACTTAAACTTTTACACCCTACACAATCTGGTTTCAGGCCGCAGCATTCTTGTCAAACTGCACTTATTAATATCATTGACAAATGGTTGCAAGAAATGAATGATGGTAATTTAAACCTAGCAATTTTATTAGATTTTAAAAAAGCTTTTGATTTGGTAGATCATGACATTCTTTGTTTAAAGCTTGAAATTTATGGATTTAGTGAGGCTACTGTTAGTTTTTTCAAGTCATACCTGAATAACAGAAAACAGCAGGTAAACATTTGTAATGTTTATTCTGAACAACATGTAAAATTTGGTGTCCCCCAAGGTTCTATACTTGGTCCTCTATTATTTGTGCTATTTATAAACAACCTTCCCTTATGCATTGAAAATTGTGAAACAGACCTATATGCTGATGACACCACTCTTCATAAATCAGGGAAAAACATAGAAAATATACATGATGATGTTCAAGAAGATTTATACGGGGTTGAAGAGTGGTGCAAAATAAATAACATGTTCATTAATGCAAATAAAACAAAATGTTTGGTTACTGGAACAAAGCAGAAACTATCAATATAGACTTATCAACCAAACTTGATAATAAATTCAAAAGTATTACAAAATTCTTCATGTGAAAAATTATTAGGTGTTAAAATTGACAGCACACTTAACTGGAGAAATCAAATTGACCAAGTTTGTGCTAACATATCATCCAGAATATACCTTCTTTCTAAAATAAAGAAATTTTTAGATATAAATGCACAGAAAACATATTACAATGGGTATATTCTGCCCCTAATTGACTACTGCTGTATTATTTGGGGTGAATGTAAAAATGAAGGGATAACAAGAATTTTTAAAACTCCAAAAAAGGGCAGCAAGATTAATTCTAGATGCAGATCCTTAATCCCCCTCAGCCCCCTTATTTAAAAAACTTGGGTGGATGACAGTTGACAATAGAATCAAATACCACAAATATTTACTTCTATATAAATGTATGCATATGGAAGCACCAATGTACCTAGTTCAAAAGTTTAAACTGAAATCAGATAATAATCCTTACTCCTTGAGAGGTGTCACTCAAGGTAATCTGATAGTTCCTAAGCCAAAAAGTGAGCTATTTAAGAAATCTTTTGTTTATTCTGGATCAGTGTTATGGAATGGACTACCACACAAAATGTGTAAAGCTCAAAACACTTATACTTTTAAACAAAGTATCAAGAAGTACTTAACACAGTCCTGATAAGATTATGTTTTCTACAATGTATTTGTATATTTTTTGTTTTTTTATTTTTATTTGATTTTTTGACTACATGTACATCTTGAACAGCTTTATATCTTATCATGTTAACAATATTACATTGAACTACTTGACTGTAAATTAACTATGTGTAAATATCTGTTTTTGATTGTATTGTAATTTGTATGTTAGGGCCTCAGGGAAGATTAGTTTATTGTAACTAACTGAGTTTTACCATCTTTAAATAAAGAATTTATTATTATTATTATTATAAATCGAAAGATTGCAAAATTTTTAGTTTCCATTCTGTAACCTAAGTTTGCCCCAACCAAACATTATGAAACCTATGCACAATATTCATTACCACAAAACTAAGATCAAGTACAAATTTTTTGTTTCAGTTTTCTAACTTTAGTTTGCCTCAACCAAATGTTATGAAACTTATACACAATGCTTATTACTACATAATACAGATTAAGTATGAAATTTGGTGGTGACACTTTTACCATTCTTGAGTTATGTCCCTTTATAAACATAAAAATTGCTGAATTTTTAGTTTGTCTCAACCAAATGTTATAAAACTTCTACACAACCGTTCTAGAGTTATGCGTGTTCACAAATAGAAAAATTGCTGAATTTTTAGTTTCTGTTCTCTACTTAAGTTAGCCTCAACCAAATGTTATGAGACTTACACACAATGCTTATTACCACAAAACTCAGATCAAGTTCAAATTTGGACTGAGCATCACTTTTACCGTTCTTCAGTTATGTCCCTTTTTAACTATATGATATGCAAGCGGGGGCATCATCTGTGTCCACATGTGGACACTATCCACATTTTTTAAATAAGGGAAAGGGGGGAGGTGAAAAAAATTGGAGGGGGACAATTTTTTTTGAAACACTTTCCCAATTTATTTCTTGATATTTTATGCATGAAATATTAAGTAAGGGGGTGAAATTACATGTTAAAAAAAATTAGGGTGCTGAATCTTTATGTTAAGTAGTGATTTGGTCCAGTTAAAAAAAGTCAAAAATTAGAATGTCTGAAGCTGTCAAACTGAATTTTAGCCCCCCTTAACACAGAATTGTCAATATTTTGGGTTAGAGCTGGTAGAAGTTTCTATAATTTTGATATTATTTATATCAATAGTAGTACACTACACTGTAAAAATCTTTTTGAGATAGAGCAGGTGCGATTTTTTTTAATTTGAATGTATTGTCTAAAAGAAATGCACTACGAAATAACTGTGTTCTCGGGCCACTTGGCGTCTGTCGTCGTTAACTTTTACAAAAATCTTCTCCTCTGAAACTACTGGGCCAAATTTAACCAAACTTGGCCACAATCATCTGGGGTATCTAGTTTCAAAAATGTGTCCGATGACCCGGCCAACCAACCAAGATGGCCGCCATGGCTAAAAATAGAACATAGGGGAAAAATGTAGATTTTGGCTTATATCTCTGAAACCAAAGCATTTAGGGCAAATCTGACATGGGGTAAATATGTTTATCAGGTCAAGGTCTATCTGCCCTGAAATTTTCAGATCAATCGTACACCCCTGTTGTTGTGTTGCTGCCTCTGAATTGGTAATTTAAAGGAAATTTTGCCGTTTTTGGTTATTATCTTGAATTTATTATAGATAGAGATAAACTGTAAACTGCAAAAATGTTCAGCAAAGTAAGATCTACAAAAAAGTCAACATGACCAAAATGGTCAGTTGACCCCTTAAGGAGTTATTGGCCTTTATAGTCAATTTTTTACATTTTTTTGTAAATTTTTGTAATCTTTTACAAAAATCTTCTCCTCTGAAACTACTAAGACATATTTAAAAAAACTTATCCACTATCATCAGTAGGGTATCTAGTTTCAAAATTGTGTCCGATGACCATGCCCGCAAACCAAGATGGCCGACATGGCTAAAAATAGTACATATGGTAAAATGCAGTTTTTGGCTCATATCTCTGAAACCAAATCATTTTAAGCAAATCTGACAGGTTAAAATTGTTCGTTAGGTCAATATCTATCTGCCCTGAAATTTTCAGACCATTCAGGCAACCTGTGTTGGGTTGCTGCCCCTGAATTGGTAATTTTAAGAAGATTTTGCAGCTTTTGGTTATTATCTTGAATTTTACTATAGATAGAGATAAACTGTAAACAGCAATAATGTACAGCAAAGTAAGACCTAAGAATAAGTCAACATGACCAAAATGGTCAATTGACCCCTTAAGGAGTTATTGGCCTTTATAATCAAATTTTAACAATTTTTATAAATTTTGTAAATTTTTACAAATTATTTTCCACTGTAACTACTGGGCCAAGTTCATTATAGATAGAGATAATTGTAAGCAGCAAGAATGTTCAGTAAAGTAAGAACTACAAACGCATCACCATCACCAAAACACAAGTTTGTCATGAATCCAGCTGTGTCCTTTGTTTGATATGCACATAGACCAAGGTGAGCGACACAGGCTCTTTAGAGCCTCTAGTTTGCTTCTATCTCAGAAAACAAAGAATTTATAGCAAATCTGACTTGGGTTAAAGTGTCAAGTTCTACCAGCCATGAAATTTTCACATGAATCTAACAACCCATGGTTGGGTTGCTGCCACTAAATTGGTAATTTTAAGGAAATTTTGCAGTTTTTATACGCCCGTTTACGGGACATATTATGGTATACCGTTGACCGTCTGTCCATCCGTCCGTCGTCAACATGTCGGACATTAACTCACAATGCTTCAACCAATATGCATGAAACTTTGGTGAATTGTTTAGTTCTATTGACGTGAGCTCCCTTTCGTTTTTTATAAATTTCAGATTTACCATTTTCGAGTTTTGGGGTGATTCATTAAAAAGGGGGATTTTCCAGTTTTCTGACAATAACTAAAAAATGCTTTCAGCAGTTCTCATGAAACTTTGGTGAATTGTTTATATCTGTTGATGTAAGCTCCCTTTAGAATTTTATAAATTTTAGATTTTACATTTCTGAGTTATGGGGTTTTATTCATTAAAAAAGGGGGGATTTTCCAGTTTTTGAACAATAACTCAAAAATGCTAAAATGTTTGATAACTGTTTCAAAGTGGCACATAATGTTTGGAAATGAATTGGGTCAAGAAATGTAAATGAAAAATATAAAGATTTTTATCGGACGACGTCCCAATTTAGTCATATTAAGAACCGTTTTTGCAAAAATGCTGAAAAATGCAGAATTTATGCAGTTTTCCATCATTATTTCCATTGTGCAGGCAAGAAACAACAAAATAATTACAGAGAAGCTTTATTATAACTATTGACATAATCTCACCAAATATAAAGTTGTTTCTTGGGTGTGCACATACTTTTCCAAACTAAAACATACATATAATTTGATGAAAAACATGGAATATCAAGATTTCTTTTCAAAATATGCAAATTTAATCATGGTTTGTTGCCATGGTAACTTGTTCAATGTGAAATTTGTTTTTATTTTCTGAATACATTGTAGGTAAGTCTAGTTTGGACAAATTTATTTATATGTGTGATAACTTTTTAAATTGGGATAATATATGGGCCAAATAAGGGCCTTATTGCCCCTACTCCCCCCAAAACAATGCTTTTTACATTTTAAAGCTTATAAATATTGATGTGTATTTTCTTCTTTTTTTTCAGAGTACAACAGATTATTCCAGATATAATCTTCACTACAACTAAGAAACAGCTGTCAGACGATTTTAATGAATATACTTGTACTATATAAATACAACTATATCCATGAATTATAATAAACACCTTTTACAGTCTTTCTGCAATTATGTTTTTAAAACTTACATCTTTAAATTAGTTTTTCTGCTGTAGATTCTGTAGCATTTCAGTATAGGGTAGATCTCAGGGTAAACATTTGTGGTGTGAATCTGTCTGCCAATAACATCTGACCACTTGTTGGTTAGCAGTTGACACTGTAGATATAATCAAAGTACTGAAGTACTGAACATCAGATGACCACAAGTTCTTGTGGATGGTCACAAGCACTTTAAAAAAAAATGACATCTCTGAAAGTGAGGTTAAGGTACATAGATAATAAAAAAATCTGAGACAAGTTTGTGCGTGTATGATTAATATTTTACAGGGAATTCAACCTCACCATATAATAACTATAATATTGTACTCTGATTTGTAGTTCTATATTATATTAGTATTTGTATAAAACAGTTACATGTATATATAATTTTGATCATTCTATTATTCTAATAATAGTTGCAAGTGCATGGTGGACACTCTTCTGTTATAATTCGATTTTCTAATAGATTGGATTTGAGTAGGCAATTCTTCTTTTCCCGTAAAACTATATTTGTCATATAAAACATTCATATTGCAACATATACAAATTCTGTTTTCTCTTTGAGTATTTAGATAACGACCAACTTCAACATTTAAGGTTCATCAAAAGGAATTGAAAAAAGGCAGTGACACGTAGCCAAATTGGCCTTCGTAGGCTACGCGTACCCGCAACCAATTTTATAATAAACTGTCATATGATCTGGAATGAAACGTGACTGCAGTGTAGATAATGGCAAATAATATTTTTTTAATTGTATTTAATGTATTAGTTAGAAAAATAAAAATTAAATGTAAATGCACATTAAAAGAATAAAATTATACTGAATTTGAATAAATATATGTTAAAAAAAACTTGAGTTTGAAAGTTATTTTCTAATAAAATTCGAAACAGAATTTTTTTTTTAAATATCTAAAACGACTAAAAATAAAGTTTGAGCGATACACAATTTAAAGTAATACTATAAAATTCCATATGTCTAAAATTAAATACATTTGATAATCATATATCCATTCAGAACTCCGGATTTATCGTTTAATTGCTACTTCTACTGTTGCACCTGAAATATTTCGGGTCTTCATATATAGGTTAAAATGAAAATAAAGTGTTATGTATGATGAATATAAAATGTTATAATGAATCCATGAAAAATCGCCCCACACCTAATCGCCCCACTTTTTCACCAACTCGCCCCACTTTCTAAAAAATCGCCCCACTCTGGTTTACCAACTCGCCCCACTTATGAAAAAGGGTAAAATTCCATTGAAAATAGGTTGGATAACTTGCCCCACTTATGAAAAGGGTTAAAATCCCGCTGAAATAAGGTATGCCAATCGCCCCACTCGTGACAAATAGATAAACCACGATGAATTCAGTAATGCCAACTCGCCCCACTTTAATAGTATAAAAAATATAAAAACCTTAGATAAACATGTTTTTGTAGTTCTTTTCTCTTTGTTGAAATAAAGCAGAAAGAAGTGAGTATCAGTATTTCTGCGACTTGAATGCCAACTAGCCCCACTTGTGAAAAATAGAAAAATCCTGATGAATTGAGTCATGCCAACTCGCCCCACTTATGAAAAATAGAAAAATGCTGATGAATTGAGTCATGCCAACTCGCTCCACGTATGAAAAAGGAAGTAATGCCGTTGAATTTATGTCTGCCAATTCACCCCACTGATAAATAAAAGTATGTACAGAATTAAAGCCTACCAACTAGCCCCACTTATGAATAAAAGAATAAAACTGTAATGAATTTAGGCCTATTCGCCCCACTTGTGAAAACGTTAGAAATGCATCATGTTTTTTTGTTATTTTCATGTTTTGGTTGAAATAAAGCAGAAAGAAGTAAGCATCAGCATTTCTGTGACTTTTTTTTACTGGTAAATATATTCAATGTTTTATAAGATAAGTCAAGAATCATGTGTGTTTACATAATTTTACTCTCAGATGACAGGTTTGCACATCTACATAAGTATGCAAAACAATTACATTTTAAACAAACATACATTAAATCAATTATGACAAGCACTGATAAAATATCGGATTATGATACAATTAACAGGTTTCTTTTCAATTGTTATGCAAATAACTAAGCTTACAAGAATAAAGTTATTCTCCAGTAATACGAAAATTACATGATAATGAATAATGTATTTACAATTATATTTTAAGAAAGTGAAACATCATTTAATTTCAATAATAATAATCTAATAAATTTTTGTTTTTATGTATTCTGTGTAGATTAGTTTTCATTTAAGTGGGGCGAGTTGGCAGACCTGAAAATTATATATTCATCTAGATTTTACCTTTTTTCATTAAGTGGGGCGAGTTGGCAGGAGAAAAATATACGGGATTTAACCCTTTTCACAAGTGGGGCGATTTTTTAAAAAGTGGGGCGAGTTGGTAAACCAGTTTGGGGCGATTTTTTTAAAAGTGGGGCGAGTTGGTGAAAAAGTGGGGCGATTTGCCAGTGGGGCGATTTGCCAGTGGGGCGATTTGTTCTGCTTCCGTTATAAAAATGAATAGATACGTACTCTATTTTATTTATGATCATAAATGTTAGAACTTAAAATGTTCTTATTTTGTTTCTGTTTTTCTCACTTGTTTGTAATGCCTTTTAAATTTGATTCTCATCTAAAAAAAATTTGTATATTCCATTGTTACATTATGTCAATAATTAAAGAAAAATATAGGATCGTTTCTACGAAAGCGTATTAGGGACGTAGTAAAAATAAAATCAGCATTGAATTTTTTTTTTTTCATAGTCGAAATTTTGACATATTTCAAATCATAAAATCTCTGTGAGTAATCTTTTTTTTTCTCATTTATTGCAATAATTTCCGCGTTTATTTCACATTTCATCAAGTTATTCCCGATCCGATGACATTAAATTATAAAACCGGAGGAGGATACGCGTAGCCTACCAAGGCCAATTTGGCTACACGTACCCGCATGCGGGTACACGCAGACACTGCCTTGAAAAAATACACAACAAAATTTACTATGAGTACAGACAAACTGACGCATCTAGGAACGTTTTATAGCTGATTCCATTGAGTGTGTAGGCAAAGGCAATATCTTTGGTTAGCTTGCTTGCTAGCTGAACCGTGAAGTCATTATTAGGTCAGGTAAACTACCCTTCTTTAAAAGCAGACAGGGGCGTAGCTACCCGGAGGCACGGCAGCACGTGCATCCACGTCGTTTTCACAAAAAAAAAAAAAAAAGAGAGAGAGAGAGAGTTGGGGACAAAGTTAACAAAGAAGAAAAGCAAGAGGAATACACATGCAGCGGAATTTTTAATCCTGTAAGACATGCGTACGATAAGTACATACAACTGGTGTAAACTTAGAGGAACTTTTTATATTACGGGCATTGTTTAGAAAATACCAGCTACATAGTTGTTGGTACCACAACCATACCGTATACTCGCTTTGAGTGTAAAAAAACAACATAATCCGGGTTAACAAAAAAACTGGAAAATTATTATTTTCCGCTTCGCCCCAAAGCACACATCTTACTAGAATGAAGACTCTTCAACTCGTATCGATCCGGGAATAATGACTGTAACCTTGTGAACTAGTTCAATATTGACTAAGTATGTAGGTCTTGACAACACGAATAGTTCATTTTCACATCGCGTCAACGTATCTCGTCCTGTGTGCATGTAATATATGCTACCGGACATTAATAACCATGCAATCAATCAATAGTTTCCGTATACTAGTAGATGAGAAGTTGGAACTGCTGTTATTATAAAAAAAAAAGTACACATTTTCCAGTACATGTTTTACGTTTTTATTTATTTTACAAAATAAATCTTTTATATAGATTCGATAATTCGAAGTCGTTTCTATATGGGCCGGTTATACGAATGGTTGATTGTAAAACCATTTAAATAAATTGTTAATTCTAACTCATTTTACTGGACTATTAGGTCATTCAATTTTAAAGAACTGTATGTCCGAGTAGGACACTAAACTGCTGATTCTTTTTCGAAAGATACACCAAACTTTTATTACACGTATCTTCACTGTTATCATCTAGATATTGCCATACAACTGTTCGAATGCATATGCATTTGTTGATTAGCTGGCTAATTAAAAACGCAGATCATGAAAAAGATCGTGATCAAAGTACCATTTACTCTGAAAAAGTTCATTAATTTCAACTTCGAATATTCCTAACTACGTAAAATTCGAAATTCCCATCTCTCTCTTGTAGAGTTTACCCACAAAATTTTAAACATCTAAATACATATGTTAAGCAAAATATATGAGAATGTGTCCACCAAGTATTTGGTATCCATGATGTTTTGCTAACAGAAACTCCACATATAGTATTGTGTTTATGTTTATTGTTTGTTTTTTTAAATCTACTTTGCTCAATACAAATACTAGCATATGGAACAAATCTCCGTGATTTTAAAAGCTTTCACGTACAAAAAAACGCAAGCGACAATGTTAAGTCTTCATTCGACTCGAAGTTAAACAAATAGTTGACCAAAAAACCACAACAAAAATGTCAAGTTTTATTTCGGTTGTGATTGTTTTGAAACGCTATATATGAGGAGCTTCCGGGGGGCTTCGCCTCCTGGCCCCCTACCAGGGCTTTGCCCTGGCCTGACATAATGGGGGCCTTGAGCGGCCCCCAGACCTCTCGCCCTATAGTTTGATTCCACTTCATTAAGAAGGTAGCTACGCCCCTGGCAGACTAGTCCGAAAGATAACCAATCTATCTGTCTGTAGGACTAGGCTACTTTGAAAGGAGGGTAGTATACCTGACCTAATAATGACTTCACGGGTCAGCTAGCAAGTCATGTATAAATACTCTGTAACGTTCGGTATGTAACCTGTATAAGTGTTAAAAGTTTGTGTGCTTTGTTTTAACCAGGCTGAAGCTAGCGAACAATAACTAGCGAACAATAAGCCAGCGAACAATAAGGAGATATATCTACCAACCGAAAAAATGAATGAGACAGCAACGGCCGTTAAATGAAAAATATTTAAAAAGGCACACATTCCGTCCAAATATTGCAATTTCAACTCTATCATAAAATGACAGTGATAAAACAAGTCACATCTCTTTTTAGGCTAATATTCAGTACCACAGTAAATCTGCATCTGTCAAGGGAATATTTGTAGGTGTAAGACCACTAATGCACCCACTTCAATTTAGAACGTATGTAAAAGAAGTCCTTCCCTGTAAAATACAGCACCTTTGATGTCATTGTTAAATTGAACTAAGATACACATTTGCAGAAA